GAAGGAAGGAAGGAAGGAAGGAAGGAAGGAAGGAAGGAAGGAAGGAATGAAGGGAGGGAGGAAGGAAGGAAGGAAGAAAGTGGGGGAGGAGAGATGGAGGAGGAGAAGGAGGCTGGTGTGATAACTCCAGTCCCAGAACCTGGAGGCTGTGGTCAGGGAAGTCATTCTTCACTGAATAGAGAAGTCACTCTTCACACAAGGCCAGCCTTAAACAGCACAACACTGAGAATGCCAAAATCCAGAAAACTGCTATTCGCTCTAATGACAGAAGATGGCGCCCTTGAGCTGAAAGAGCGAGGAAAACCCCAAATCTGTCCCCGTTGTCCTCCAAAGAAGCATCTGTGGGAAGCTGATTATGGAGAGCACGCTGAAGAGTGTTCTCCAATACTAAATGGTCAGCCCTGAAAACATACAAATGGGTAACATCATGAAGGCCGAGCAGGTTCTAGTTATGTATTCAGGAGTGTGCGTGTGTAGGTATGTGTGTGTGTGCTTCTGTGTACATGTACACACTCACATATATAAAAAACAGAGAAGGCCGGGGCCTTTAATCCCAGCACTTGGGAGGCAGAGGCAGGCGGATTTCTGAGTTCGAGGCCAGCCTGGTCTACAGAGTGAGTTCCAGGACAGCCAGGCCTATACAGAGAAACCTGTCTCGAAAAACCAAAAAAATAAAAATAAAAATAAATAAATAAAATAAATAAAAAACAGAGAAAATGGAGCCATGAATTTGAAAGGGGAAATGAGAAGGGTTGGAGAGATAAAAAAGAAGAAGGAAACAATGTAATTATAATCTCAAAACATATCAAAAAGAAAAAAGCTGGCTCAAAAAATCTGATATATTAAAATATGATAACAATAAAAAATGTTGTATCTAAAATTACAATAAGGAAAGAATACGTACACGCAGAAGAACCAGATGTTTGGGGAGCAGAGCTTGTTTTAGTTTGGTTTGGATTTTTCTGAGACAAAGTCTTACTTTGTTGCCCTGGCTGTCCCAGAACTCACGTCCTAGAACTCACTCTGTAGACCAATCTGGCTCTGAACTCTCAGAGATACCCCTGCCTCTGCCTCCCCAGAGCTGGGATTAGAGCTGTGCTCCACTACGCCCTGATAGAACTGTAAATGTCGATGAAAGCATGGCAAACATTGTCCCAAAGCAGAAAATGAAATAAAATCACAGGGTACACGACCCCGGGGGGCTACTTCCGGTGTCCTCTGTTACTCTTCAGCCTTAAAGCACACATGCTTGCCTGTTGCTCAGAATGCTGGTCTGTCTCTGGGAATTTCCTTTAGGCAAAGAGCACCCCCTCATCCTGGGTCACCCCTTGTCCTCAAGATGTGATTGATAACAGTGACTTCTCAGGTAGGGTAATGAGCCTTTATCAGCAGATAGACATCTTTGAAGGGTCAGTCTGTTTCAAGGTTCATGTGAGGCCTAGCTGCTCACTCCTCCGATCTAAGCACTTGGGAAGGAATTTAAGGTCATCGACAGCTACACAGCCAGTTTGGAGCCAGCCTGGTGAACAGGTGACTCCATCTAAAGACGAACATAGTGACCAGAAGTAATTTTGTTCAAACCTCTCTTCGTGTTATCAGCTGAGGCCATCGCCAGTGATGAGGAGCAACAGCCTCCTACTGACCTGAGAGTCAACTGTTAGATATTTCACAAACAGCTGTTAAAGCCACCATCTGGACTTACATGATATAAAACTTAACTTTGTTGAGGCCACAGCTTGCGGCATAGCTTAGGCTGACCTAGAACTCACAACATAACCCAGGCTTGCCTGGAATCCAAAGGTCTCTTGTTTCAGCATCCCAGATGGGGTTACACTCACACCACGCTCAGCTATAAAGTCAAATTTAAATAAATTATATTCAAAACCAAAGTAACAAATACTTGGCAGTTACCTTTCCTGACCATTGTACCGTGTGTGCTATCATCTGTGCTCCAGAGGAGACGGCCAGGACACAAGTGTCCACGTATTGAAAGTGGTCAAATGCTACAGATCAAAGTTTGCCCTTGAGAGCTGGTGGTTAAACATTAACTAGCTGCCATCCCCATCTTCTCCTCCCCTCACAAGGGTGCTCTCCAACAAGCACCTTGCACGTGCCCTTGTTTCAGAGTCAGCATCCCTGGGAATGTGACCCAAATCTACAGAAAGGGCTATCTAGGGAAAAGCCCCGTAGTAGACAGAATCAAGAGACAGGAAGACAGAATACAGCATGACACCCTCCCTACCCCCATAGCCATCCAATCCTGGGCCTTATGTATACTGGACAAGCAGGCTACAACTGAGCTATAATCTCCACCACTAAATAGAAATTCAAAAGCTCAAAACAATACGGGGCGGGGCTGGAGAGATGACTCAGCAGTTAAGAGCACTTGCTGCTCCTCCAGAGGACCCCGGGTTTGATCTCCAGCACCCACATGGCAGCTCACAACTGTCTATAATTCTAGTTCCTGGTGGGAGGGAGGGGTACCACCTCTAGCCTCTGCTGGCAACTGCACTCCCCTGTGCAGACACACCTACACAGAATTAAGTATAATACAAATAAATCTTAAAAATTATTGAAACTAGACAAAACAGATTAAACACACAGATTTGGTGGCTTACAGAAGAAATTCAAAATAACACAATAGAATTAATATTTACAAAAACTATAATTCAAATTCAGTCACACTTCTGTGGAGGGGAGGAGAAACTTGAACTCATCCTGGAAGGGATCCAGCAGGCTGGTGGAGAGATGGCTCAGTGGTTAAGAGCACTTTTCCAGAGGACCTGGGTTCTATTTCCAACATTCAAATGGCAGCCATTTATAATTCCAGTCCCAGGAGACCCCTTCTTCTGGCCTCCTTGGGAACTGCATGTACTTGGTGAACAGACATCTATGCAGACACAACACTCACCCATACATACAATAAAATTAATAATAACAACAGCACATACAAACAAAGCAACAGCAGAAGCTACACCTTCAATGGAAAGGAGGTCTCTCCAAAGTCAAAGGACACAAACATTCTTATCTTTGAAAGCATGGCAAGAGACAAGAAGAACTGAACAGATCTTGCTTACCCCTCCGCCATGTTCCCCTTCACCCTCACGCTCCTGCCTTCACTCTCCCCACAACTGTCCTCACTGCATCGAACTAATTGTGGAAAATCACAGGTGCTTCGGATATGCAGACATGCTTGCTGGTTAACTTGTTCTTAGCCCAGGGTGCTCAGCGGGAGCTTGTAACGGGTGGTGAGAAACTGCTAAAGTAGTAAATACATTTTGTTTGCTCTGACAGTTTGAAGGAACGCCATAAACACTGAGAGGAGAGGGTGAATGTTAGCTCACTGGTTGTCTCTTGGGTAGAAGGAGAAAGGGTAGTGGTGCTGAAAGCCAACAGCTGCTGTGTAAGGCAGAGCAAATTAAAGAAAGAGGATGATAGTATCAGCAAAAGCTGTGTGGCAGAGGACACAGACGAATGAGAGGGTTCAAGTTCCTTCATCGTTATTTTCAGCAGGGAACTGACAGTCATGTAAGAAAGAGAGGGCTGAGGTGTCACTGGAACATCCGGCAAAGGTGATCATTATAGGCAGAGTATGGATTTCCATAAGAACTGGGAGAAAGGTGGCTGGGGGTGCTGAGTGGGAGAATGCTCATCTCGAAGGTGTGGTGCTCTGGGCTTGACTCTCAGCGGCGCTGAGGAGGGAAGTAAGAGAAACCCCTCATAAGAAGCAAAGGAAGCCTGGTCTATAGAGTGAGTTCCAGGACAGCCAGGACTACACAGAGAAACCCTATCTCCAAAAAAAAAAAAAAAAAAAAAAAAAAAGCAAAGGAAATGGGAGCATTTCCAGAGAGGCTGTGTGTCCAGTCTCATGGATACAGATACGACACAGTTGAAACAAAACATAACAGTTGTCTTAGTCTATATTATCAGGGTTAAATAACCTTAGCTAAAGTGGCTAACAAGGAGGCTGGAGAGATGGCACAGTGGTTAAGAGCACTTGCTGGTCTTGCAGGGGACCTGAGTTCAGTTCTCAGTAGTGTCTGTGCCAGGCAGCTTACAACTGCTTGAAATTCCCACTCCGGAGCCGGGTGGTGGTGGCGCACGCCTTTAATTCCAGCACTTGGGAGACAGAGGCAGGCAGATTTCTGAGTTCGAGGCCAGCCTGGTCTACAGAGTGAGTTCCAGGACAGCCAGAGCTACACAGAGAAACCCTGTCTTGAAAAACAAAAACAAAATGATATTCCCACTCTGGATCTGATTATTTTGGCCTCCTCAGGCAGCTGGATAGACACATATGCAGACATACACACACACATGCACACACGCACGCACACACACCTCCATATAACTAAAAGTAATAAAAATATCCAGGTGCAGAGGCATATGCCTTTAGTCCCAACACTCAGGAGACAGAGGCAAGTGATCTCTGAGTCTGAGGCCAGCCTGGTATACAGAGTGAGTTCCAGGACAGCCAGGACTACACAGAGAAACCCTGTCTCAAAAAACAAAACAAAAAAACTAAATAAGTCAAAGAAAAATGTAAAGGTGGGCTCACTGCTTGCTGTATATGAGATCGTAAAAGAAAGAACACTGAGAAGAACACTGACAGACCAAGTCCTGAGGCTGGCTCACAACTTAGAGGCCAGCCTGAGGTATACAGGAAGGCCCTCTTGAAAGGAGGGATTTTGGAAGAACAAATATATAATAGCCAGCTGTATATTTTGAGAAGCAAAAAGTTCTCTAATGTCAGACAAGGCTGAATTCAAGAAAAAAGACATTAGACAGGTGATATTGTACTGTAGTGCTAAAAACTACACTTGAGATACAGATAAAACAGCTACAAATACCCAAGCAACAGAAACCTTGCAGCAACCTGGAGAGACTAGGAATGTGGGGAAACAGAATAATGCCTTCAACCATACCTCTCTGTCTAAGTTCAAAGATACATAACAAATAATAACAACAAAATAACAAATCAAAGAACAACAAAAATCTGGAAAACCAGGGTAGGCACACTAAGAGATACTATTTACATGTTGGGTAAAAGCTTTGTAAATTCCTTACTACAAAATATCACAGGACTGCCGGGCAGTGGTGGCGCACGCCTTTAATCCCAGCACTTGAGAGGCAGAGGCAAGCGGATTTCTGAGTTCGAGGCCAGCCTGGTCTACAGAGTGAGTTCCAGGACAGCCAGGGCTGCAGAGAGAAACCCTGTCTCAAAAACCAAAAAAACCAAAAAACCAAAACAAAACAGTCACAGGACAACACATCAGCTAGCTTGCTGCTTAAAGAGACACTCCTACAGATTAGCAGCTTAAAACAGCCTAAAACATCACCTCACAGTGTCTGTGGCCAGGGCTTAGGTCAATCAATAGCAGCATACAGGGCTGGTTATCGCTCAGACTCTCCCATGATGGTTTGTTTATACAAGACGTGCCCAGGGATGGGCATGAGAGTACACACCTATAACCCCCGAATTCAGGAAGCAGTACCAGGTGGATCTCTGTGAGTTTGAGGCCAATCTGGTCCACACAAGGAGTTCCAGGTCAACCAACGATACACAGTAAAACTATGTCTCAAAAAAAAAAAAAAAAAAGAAGGAAAGAAAGAAAGAAAGAAAGAAAGAAAGAAAGAGAGAGAAATGAGAAAAAGAAAGAAATGCTGGGGCTGGAGAGATGGCTCAGGGGTTAAGAACACTGACTGCTCTTCCAGAGGTCCTGAGTTCAATTCCCAGCAACCACATGGTGGCTTACAACCATCTGTAATTTGATGCCCTCTTCTGGTGTGTCTGAAGACAGCTACAGTGTACTCATATAAATAAAAATAAATAAATCTTTAAAAAGAAAGAAAGAAAGAAATGCTGGCTGCTATTATTGGAAGGCTTAACTAGGGCTGGGGGATTCCTTTTTTTTTTTTTTTAAAGATTTATTTATTTTACTTATGAGTACACTGTAGCTGTCTTCAGACACACCAGAAGAGGGCACCAGATCCCTATTACAGATGGTTGTGAGCCACCACGTGGTTGCTGGGATTTGAACTCAGGACCTCTGGAAGAGCAGTCAGTGCTCTTAACCACTGAGCCATCTCTCCAGCCCCCCCCCCTTTTTTTAAAGATTTATTTATTCTACGGGCTGGGGGATCGATATCAGCCCACTCAGAGAGGGGTGTGTCCCTAGGGCCCTGGGGGAACCTTCCTAGTACCTTATAATAGAGAGTCTGGCTTCCTCTCCGAACAGAGGACCAGAGGGAGAACGCAAAGCCACACGTCTCTTTATGAGGCAGCTTCAGACTTAACTGTGACTAGAGGGGGGTCTGTAAGTTCCACAGGAACAAGTGGAGAGAGGGGGGGGGCAAGGGAGGGAGGGAAAGAGCGAGCCCCTTACCTTTTGAAGGGAAGAGTAACAAAGGATTTGCAAATTGTGTTTGGTTTTGTTTGTCAGTGCGGGGGGGGGGGGGCGGGGGGGGGAATCATCCCCGTGCACATCCCCCGTGCACATCCCCCGTGCACATCCCCCGTGCACATCCCCCGAGCACATCCCCGGGTCCACCCTAACCTAAGCTACATCCTCAGAATGTTTGTTCCTGGGGTCAGTGAGACAGATGGCTTCAAGGGTCAGGACAGTTGCCGCTAAGTTTGATCCCTGAACCCCCACATGGGAAACCTAGCTCATCAATGGTGTTTATTGGGGATTGTTTTGTTCTGAGAAGGGACCTCATGTACCCCAAACAACCAGCCTTGAACTCAGTACATATCTGAGGATGGCCTTGATCCTCCTGCTCCACCTTCTTAAGGCTGGGATTACAGGTGTGTCCTTCTGTGTCTGGCACAAATGATGTTTTATCAGAGATCTATGCCAAGAGTAAAAATCCAAATTTTCTTTTTCTTTTTCTTCTCTCTCAGGACAGGGTTTCTCTGTATAGCCCTGGCTGTCCTGGAACTCGCTCT